TGAAAACGAGCTCGATCGATCGAGCATCCCAGGACTCCTTGCATTTCCGAGCACGTCCACAACACCACACTTGGTGCATTTGCATTTTGTCGCCGTTTCAAATGGAAGGGCGAAGAATTTTCCACGCAGGATTCTCGCTCAAGATCTAAACACGACACCGGCGTCCCCAAGCAGGGGTGACAGTGTGCAAACGTGGCGAGCTGCCCGGAGGCCTGGCCCCGGCACCCTCCCCCCCAGGACCTGCACACGCCCGCGGCGGGGGAGGAGGGGTACTGTGCCAAGCACTCGCCCGTGCGCAGCCCACGCTGACCTTTGGTGCATCGAAGGTGGAGGGTGTACGCTTGGCTCCCAGCACCGCCTGCCTTCCAGCCTCTGCGGTGCTCGGGCTGTGAATCAGTCATTCATCTGCAGAGCAATGACTCAGTATAAACTTTTACAGAACGGCTCCGAGCACCCACCTAGCCAGCTGGGGCGAGCGCGGGCGTCTATGCGGACAGCGTGAATCCGATGGGTCGCTGAGCACCCACCGGGGCCAAACACTCCGGGGCCTGGGAGGAGATGCTGGTTCCTCCAGCAAGTCCTGGGGCGGCTAGAGCGAGACAGAGACAGAGAGAGAGAGAGCGAGAGAGGGAAAGCGAGAGCGAGACAGACAGAGAGAGAGACAGACAGAAGGCCTGGGCATCCCGCGGCGGCCCCCGACGCAAAGTTTCCAAAGTTGAGGTGCTCGGGCTGCGGAGGGCGAGGAGGCCTGGCCTGGCCGCGAGGACCCAGCCGGGGACGGAGCCCGGGACCAGCCGGGACCTGCCGAAGATGGAGCCCAGGACCAGCCGGGATGCAGCTGGGGACGGAGCCGGGGACCAGCCGGGGACGGAGCCGGGGACCAGCCGCAGACCAGGCCGCCCACCGGGATGCAGCCGCCCGCGCACCGCGTCCTTCCCGCCCGCGTCCTTACCCCGCGGCCCGCGCGCTCGGCCGATCAGCGCCGCCGGGCGCATCCTCCGCCGCCGTCCGCCGCGTCCTGCTCCCCGGGCAGCCCCATG